AAGCTCCTTATAGGGACAAATCAATGTCATATTAGTGCCAACTTGCTTCCATTCATTTACTACGTGGGCGTCCCTCCCTAGGCAGGCTCCTTGCATTGGTTCCTAGGCAACTGGAATAATACTGTGCACGTGTGTGTCAGGCATTGATTGCCTTTGGGGCTTTTTTTTGTGTTGTAAGTGAACACAGGATAGTCCATTTTCCTTTTCTTTGTGTTCTGCTAAAGTCTCTGAGAGTTTTGAAGGGCACGTCTGTGATATTCACAGCTGAGCAATTCAGAAATACTTGCAGACAGGCACACGTGCATAGTGTGGGATGGTGATCATGCTGGAATCCCTAGGCAAGGCTTACTTCAGCTACTGTGGCTTGCTCTTTTTGGTTTTTTTTAATAGCCAAGTTAGAGGTATTTCAGTATTTTGGATGCCTGAGGAATGTTTAGCATCCTCTAAGGAAAATGAATGAACAACACCATTTTATCTTGCTTTTACTCTGCATGGAAGGAAAGAAAACACTAAAGAGTTCTAGTCGGTGAAGGGATTTGATTACTGAAATTAATTTCAAGGGATTATTTGCTTGACCAAATATGTGCAAAGTCTGGCACAAAGCAAGTGGTTTTTTAAATGAAAAAATGAAAGTTAATATATAAAATTACAAGAGAAAGGGTGGTGGGTGAATATGGCACTGCAGTGAGACAGGAGCTCTTTGCCCTTCTCAGCTCTGCTAAGAGCTTGTGCCTGACCTTGAGCAAGCCAGTTCACCTCTCGCTTCTCATTTGTGAGGTAGGAATGGTACTGTATTTGCCATTCACTGTTTGTTCATTTCAGGAATGAGCAGCATAACTATGAGCTGCTTTGATTCCCTAATTGGTGTTTGGAAGCCAGACAGGTACAGCCTATATGCATGGTACCGAAGGTATCCTAATAAACCTTGTTAGTCTCAGTAGCTTCATCCAAACACAATCACACTGGTCAGTCTGTCAACAGGTAACGTTCCTAGGAGACAAAAAATCCTGTCTTTCAGATGACATCCTGGGCCATCTGTTGATCATCTCTGCTTTGGTGAAAGGTGAAAGGTCTTTGAAGCTTCTTTGTGTTGCACCCCTCTCTTTGGGCACCTGATCCTGCCCATGGGCACTTACATGGTGGTACAGTACAGAGGAGAAATATGAGTATGATCAATTGGTTGTGCAGCGTCTAGAATTACTTGAGCCATAATCCTGTGAAACATACATGGAAAGCATGAAAAGAACATGCCAGAATTCAATTTACAAAATATTGTTATGTACATATTTCAAATGCCCAGACTTGATGGAAGATACTAACATCGGCACTTCCTCAGCATACAAGGAATGATTATATGCTTTTAATGTAGAAAGGCTTTTCTTTTGTAACTAGTAATGATAATAATAAGAGCATTATAATGCCTGTCTGGCTGTGGACAGCTTTGCCCTTTCTCTTATGCTTTCCAGTGTAATAGAAATTATTTAGAGGATTGAATAATTCTCTGCATTTTTGTTACTCTGGTGTTCAAACAAGTAGAACATCCTTAAAACATAAGTCTCAACAGAAATTGAGTTAGGTCAGGAAAGAGAAAAAAAAAGAAAACACCAAAATAGAGAAGAATCTACTTCAGCTGCCTTCTTAGAAGACTCAAGTCTGTATGAAAACAACGTGCAATGTTCACTAATTCTTCAAATACTGTTTGAAAAATAGGAAGATGCTATTATGTGCAGTATCACAATATCATTCATTAAAGAAGGAAACATGAAAGGCCTGAATGGCTACGGGCTCATCAGCTTATTATCAGAGGTGTATAGAATTCTCACAAAAGATGTAGGGACTTTTTGGCCTCTAGACAAAGAAGAAGTCAGGAGTCAGAAATAATACCTGAACTGTGAATTACCTATGACAACAACAAGGGTTAAGGGAAAGATAAGTAAGTGTAGTGAACTATTAAGTGAGCCTTTTATAGGCTACAAAATATATTTTATTTCTCCAGAGAAATAAAATAATTTTGGAATACTGAGGCTTGAAAACAACAGTAAAAAACCCCTGTGAATCTCAATGTGGAGATTAAGAAGCACTCTGTTTGTAATATTCTAAGAAGGAATATAAAGTTGATAGGGGTTTTGGTATCACTGGAGAATTTCTTGCAGTGATATTAGAAATGGTCAACCAGTTGACATTCCAGGGCCGTTAAGACTGACTGTATTTGATATGATGAAAAGCAAAGCTGTAGATGGCTTGGGGTAGTATAGCTCCATCACCTAAAGGGAGTAGCTTGCCATTTGCACAAAGGCAGAGCAAGGTCAGCATTACCCCCCTCCCCTGGTGACTCACTTCTTTGGCAGTGAAGGGGGGGATACAGGCGTGCTGATACAGGTATGCTCTCTATGTGTCCCTGTGGAGAGCAAGAGACAACTTTGTTTTCCAACTCAGGGCACCTTTCCTCCAGTCTGCTGCTTTGTTGTCATCTGCACACCTTGATTGGGGCTGGGAGTACATCAACCTTCACCAGAGAAGGCAGAAAATAGTTCTTCAGAGCAGCAGTCGGGGTGGGGGCACCAGAATGGAGTGACGATGGCAACAGTGGCTGCCAGTACTGTGAGATCCAGGGCTGGCTGTTTGTGCTGCCTCTACTGAGTGCCTGGCCATGTGGGGTCCTGGTCAGAGCCTCAGCTATTGCACCAGCTCTGATAAATAACAGTTCATACATTTTTTTTTCTCTCTTTTGATTCTGAGGGATGTGAAAGAAGTTTGTTAATTTTTCCACTGAGCTCATTTCTGAAAAACGAATTCATATTAATTTAAACACCATCAGTCTTTGTTTGCTCTGCTGATGGCCTTTGACTTGAGAGAGCAGGTGTGCTGGCTCCTCTCTCATTCTCCTCCATCCATTTCAGCAGCAATTTCTGATAGGTTTTGTCACTTCCATGCGTATTGTGGAGAAATATTGGGCTAGCACGGGGAGTGGCAATGCAAGAGCACAAAATTACACTCCTCATCAATCATTACCCTCTAGCAACTTCCAGGGCACTGTAAATTGCTGACTAACAAGGGAGAATTAGCTTGATAAAATCACCATTAGTGTCAGGTCGGAGTGGTGTAAAGTTTTAAAGACACTGCTGTCCTCTGTCTCTTCCTCATCCATTAATGTTCCTGTGGATCCCAAACCAGCAAAGCACGTAAACAAAGCCTTTGTTGGAGGCAGATCAGTTATCCCAAGGAAATCACTGGGATATGAATCCTATGCATGTGTTTATGTGCTTCAGTGGATCAGGGCCATAACACACACTCTCTGAGCATAAAAATTGTAAATATCTCTGTGTAAGCTAGTTTCTTGATTCAAAACCAGATTTAGGCTCCATAACTGTACTTAGAAATGTGACAGTCAAGTTTTACTGCACAAGAGCATGGAAGCTAATAGATGCATTAGCCTCTTTCACCTTCCTTTTCTTGCTTGTTATTTGAGTTTTATCAGTTTATGCTAGCTAGAAATGTGCCTCTCTAAATCTCTGCATAGCCTTCTCAAAGCTCTGCAGTTACTAAAATTTAGGCCATGTTTGGACTTGTGCATAAAACTTCAAGTGCAGCCAGATCAGGAACAGTTTTAGAAAGTTCCAGGTGAGATGCAGACACAGCCAATACAGCTAAGGGGTTGTGTTAGCTCACGGACTTATCTCAGTATTGCCAGACCACATGCCAAGTACTGCAGTTTGCCTCATGGCTTCTCAGTATTTGGGGTTTGTTTCTTCATGTTTTCAATTTTTCTTCACGTTTTCAATTTTTCTTCACAGTCTTGAAGACAAGAACCTTATTTCTGTGAGAAATAAGTTCAAAGCAAGCAAACCAAAAACCCCACTAAGGTTATAACAATGGACATTTGGATTCTCATATAGTAATTTGACTACAATAGCTGTGAGAAGGAAAAGTGCAGGGCATTGCAAGATGTCCCACAGAATCACCAGGATGACCCCCCTCATTTGTATTTCAGGATTGCTCTAAAGTTTGATGTTTTGTTGCTTTTATTATTTGATTATCCAACTGGAATCTAAGACTTTTTACCTCTGACACTCATCCTTTTAGTTTTTATTTTGACTACAAAGCTGCAGCGACTTAACTCATTACTACAGATAGTTACTTGCATTTAAAGGCTGAGAATGTCCAACTCTTTAGTTGTACCCATTCATGATCACCAGATGTTTCATTGCTCCACAGCCGTCTGGAACTGGGGCTTGATCTGCTGTGACATAATGTCCATTGCCTCACAGTGCCCCAAAAGTAATCCAGTCATCTTGCTTGAGCAGCTGATTTGTTTGAAGTCCCAATGTCACGTTTGAGAACAGAATAACACAGCTTTGAATGCCAGAAGCTATAATTGTGTTGATGTAGTCCAATCTTCCACAGGACACAGAACAGACAATATCACCTACCTCTGTTTCAAATTTTACTTTGTGAAATGACAACTTCTCCTGCTGTTGAAGTGGACTGTTTTTCACTCTTTCCAGGACAGCTGACCACTGGAACTTCAATGAGGAAAATGTCATATTGTGGCTGTTGCAAATCACAGAATCTGTTTCTGCAAATGCTGAAATATATCTTATTGGAAAATAATATTGTAACTCTTCATTTACAAACCAAAGCAACAAGCTTGTTTTGCATAAAACAAAGTTGCTGTCTATTCTGTGATACATCTTTTACTAAGAAGAAAAGTATTAATCCTTCTAAAAATTTCTATCCATGAAGCAGAAGTGCTGGAACAGATTCTCAGCAACTGCAGATGGATTCAAGTCAACTTATTTTAGTGGTCCTGAGTAGCTTTACACCAGCAGAGGTGTGGGCATACAAAGTGTCTTTTACAAAGCCACTCTTTTGAAACATAATGCTCTTCGAGCTACCAGAATGGTTTCAAGGAATGTCTACTGCCTATAGTCCACATGAAGCCCATTGCATGCTGTGGTCCTATTTTGTGATTCAATTTTGACACTAATTTGTGTTTGCAGGTGTGAAAGCTGTGGTGCTGTCTTCCATTCTGAGTGCAAAGTGAAGGCTGTACCATGCCCCAGGTGTGTGCGTAAAGAATTGCAGAAGAAGCAGAAATCCTTCTGGAGGCAACTGAATATGGACGAGAACTTTGAAGAGTCTTGCAACATGTTTGAATTGTCGTGCCAGAACACATGAGTTCCTTAAGGCTGGGACCAACCTGAAGAGAATCCCTTTCCCAGCTGCCAGCTTAAGCAAATTCTCAGCTTAGCCAGGCAGAAATTTTTTCGAAAAGTATTATCTGACCTTCTTCATCTGTGAACAACAGCTGCCAAATTGGCTATAAAGCCTTGTCGGCTTTGAAATACCAATGGCTAAACTGCATTGAAGTCCAGCCACTAGCTCTCATACAAAATGTGGTTTACCTGAAATGCTTTAGGTCTAGGTAATTAAGCACCTGACTTTCTTTTCCACCTCTGGAGAAGAGTTTTTCTCAAGGCAGAAAATATTTGCCACCATGACCACATTATTTTTTATGTTTTTCATTTAGAATTGCTGAATCATCAACTTATATATGTGTATTATTTATTTATTAGTAGCCTTGGCAGAGGGTCTGATGGGATGTTTCACAGAACCCAGTAGAGCAGGAATTACTTTAAATCCACTGTCTCCTCCTGATACAGACATGTGGTTCCATTTCCTCATGTTTTCAGAGAACTATTTTGAAAGGCCAGTGCATTTACATTTTAAAGGATCTGCCTGCCAAGGAAAGAAAAGGATCTCCCATCAAACCTTATTGGAGGTGCTTACAAACATAAGACGCAGAATTCCTTAATTTATGTTTATATATTCATAACCATCCCAGTGAACTATTTCATATTCAGGTAAGCAGGGGACTTCCTACGCTTTTGTTCAGGCTGGGTATATTGGTTAAGCTCAGTCACTGAAGTCTGTGCAGTTTTACGCTCGTTATTCTTAATCTGTGGAAGGCCATGTCCTCATCTCCAGTAACATGATGTTGGCTCTGACCTCCTTCTAGTTTCACACTTGAGGCATTTTAAGTGCCCACATTGGTTTTCTTTTTATTTCATGAAGTTTATTTTAAATGTTTTTCTAACCTGAACCTGATAAACTGATAGTCAGGAAAGTCTTCTTGCCCATCGTAGTTAGAAAATACCTCCAAAGTTGTGAAACACTACTTTGCTGTTTTCACATGCAACTTATGTCCTGCATTCTCTTTGAGCTTCAAGGCATTTTATGCTTCTGTAATGACTTCGGTGGTGGAGAGCGAAGTTCCTTGAGGTATGATTCTACTCCACACACCTGGAACACAGGAAGTATTAACCACAGTGAATTCTATTGTGAAAGGGAAGTACATGATGGATTTAACTGGGGAGATGTGTGTCATATCACTGGCAATATGTTTAATTCATTGTGAGTTCACCTCCAGTGAGCACTTAGAGATTGTCCTCCCTCCAGTCCACGTTCTTAACTCTTTTTCCACACCCTGCAGTGATGTGTGTATTATATACATATGAAAGCAGTCACGTATATATATACACACACACATCTATATAAAGAAAGCAAATACAGTTTCAGATGAAAAAAGCCAGTTGCATGTATTTTTCCTCTCCTCTCACACAGGTTTGTGAAAGTGTGAAATACTGATCTTTGCTTCCTATATAATCTTCAGACTGTTGTATTCAAGGCAGAAAGCAGTCTTGATCATCAAAGCATCTCACTAATCGCTGAAGTATTTTAAATAAAAGAACAGGGTACATCGTGCTTACGTTAAAAAGTAAAATGCTACAGTGAGTTGCCTTGTACTGGACTATAAGTGGTTACCTTTTCCAGCCTCCAGTCAAAGAAGAAGTAGCTGAATCTGAGCTTTCTCAGATTGAGTGCAACTACTCTATATATAGAAGCATGTTTATATCTTGTATACATTAGACAACCAGTGCCTTTCTTTTCCAGAAGTCCTTCTCTCAGTGGGATTCTTTGGAAGGAAGTGAGGGGTTTTCTGTGTTTTGGCAAAGTACTGTAAGGATTCCCATGTTTAATAAACCTGGTGAATCATGCACCTTTGTCACTAAAATTAATACTTCCCGTACACGGTGGTATCTCGTCTGGGCTCACTGTTCCTTATGTGAAATGAGTTGCTTTTGGCTATCACCTTTAAAGGTGTAATGTTCCTTGCAAATCCATTCCCACTTTAAGAATTCCCTGCGTGTTCAGAAATGCAAACACTGGGGAAGTATTGTGGAATTAGTCATGCAAACAGGAACTGCACTGGTACTGGCTGAATAAACAGTACGCGCCCATGTTTCTCAGCATGTGTCACTACAACTAGTCCTGTGGCAAAGCCAGTAGCTCTGAAACTGTCAGAAGCTGGCAGGTACTATTTTGAATTATCTGTGGACATAATGGTAGGTGGTTAAAGAAAAAATGAAAATGTTTTTCATATCATCATCATGCTCTGGTATTTAAGTTACCTTACATTGCTGGTTCATGTCCAGCTCAGTTTAGAGAAGGCTGCTTGTGTGCACTGTCAAAAACCATATCGAGTCAAGGAATCAAGGTTCAGACATTGCAAACTATTAGTTACTTTGACAGATGTCCTGATCCCCAAAGTACCAGTTGTGTGCGTGGTTAGATATTGGAACTGAATTCTGGAATAAAAACATAGACGGCATTGGTGTTGCTCTGGTTTTGTACAGGTATTACAGAACAGTTTCTTTGCTAACAGAGAGTTACAGAGAATAAAAAAAAAAGTTTGATGTTGGCAAAACTGCTAGAATTAGTCATGAACCTGAAACCACTGCCATTACTAATGATAAAGAGCAAAAGCATGTTGTTACAATGTGCTGTCAGTGCCCAGAGCACTGTGTAAAAGGATACTGTACAATACAGCTCAGATTAATTGCTTTAAAATCCAATGTTGTTGTAAACCAGCTGGTTCCTAAAATGAATACACATTCATTTCTACTTTGGAAAAATAATACGGCTTCATGGTAGCTATAGGAGCAGACCATAATATGGAAAATGCTGTCCTCTCAGGGATGCCCAGCTCCTATCCAAAAAATGTTATTCTATATAAATGGGCAAGACAAAGTCTTTTGTCCCTGCTTTTTGTAAGCATAATGGAAGGCTTCATCCTGCCCTCAGAAGGTGCCGATGCAGGAGGAAGAAGCCCTATTAATTTTTCAGGACTGCAAGGCAAAAGAATAAATTGAAATTACTGCTCATATTATTAACTCTCAAAAGACCCGGCTTTAAAAGGGACGTTTTCTTGGAAGAGCCATCTGCAAGCAGGACGCTCAGCCTGGGGTTCTGTAGATGGTTTGGGTTTCAGACGATGCTGTACCTGTGCATGGTTGTCTCTGCTGTACTAACAGTGCTGCGTGCTGGTCCCCGCTGCTACTCTACCCGCCCTGCAGCCCACAGCCTGCACGTGGCTCTGCTCTGCAGACTTCTGGATGAGCATCAGCTGGAAAAGTTCTTGGGGTCTTTGTAGATTGCACTACTCTCTTGCCCCCCTTCCCCCCCAGTTAAATTATGTATTGGTACTTCTAGTATTGTCCTACCCATGCATGAAATAAATTTGAACAATGCCATTTCATTGTGAGTCAAGAATAAAATGTGCCGTTTGTCTCCTTCAAAGAGAAGATGCTTTCATAGCTGACTGAGGAGGAATTGATCTGTAATCCAGTTACTGCTTTTGCTTTGTATAAAACTTGTAATCAGTGTAGAAATAGGATGCTTCACTGCAGTGGACTACAGCTTCACACTCTACAGGTACTTACATTTGTTAGTCTAAGATTATTTTAATCTAGGACACTATAGAGATCCTTATTCAAGTTTCTTTTCCTCTTTACCCTGACCGTCTGCCTTTCCTTTAATGGGAAGAAGGGTATGTAAACTCCAGCTTTTTTATATTATCAACCTATAAAAAGAGAAACTTGTATTTCTTGTGTAGAAATCTTTCTCTTGCCTGTTTTTTTTTCTTAGGTTGTGGAAAGTGATGGGTTTGTGATGTGACAAAATATCCTGGCTGGCACATACCAATAGGGCTCACTGCTGGGATAATAGGAATTGGCAGTTGTGAGGAAAGGTACTTTTTGGTGAGGAACTCAAGTTTTTCACAGTACTCCACAGGCTCTGATGGCCCTGTTAGGAGCGAATCATCAGGGTACTTCTAGAGCTCCTCTTGTCAAGGCTTCTCTAATAATCAGGATGGTGTGTATGATGTATTATAAGGGATTGATGATAATGCCCTGAATGATTTTTTTTAAAAAGCAGAGGATATCTGTTTACAATGAAATGGGGAAGCTGCACAGTTGAATTTTGCTTTTTCCCTGTAGCAACCAAGTTTAGCAGGCTTCCCAAAGTCACTGCCTGGATTGCAGCTTACTGTGGATCTGTATAAAAGAAATTAAATAATCATCATAATCTCACTTTTTTTTTCTGCTGCTCAGCTGCAAGCCAGTCTCTCCTCTCTCACTGTCTCTGTCCCTGTCTCTACTCCCAGTGCTGAGTTTACAGCCAGACTTGGAGCTTCATAGCTCATTGTGTTGTTTTTGAACCAGTTGAGTCCAATCATTCTCTCCTTCGTAATTTTCCTTTCAATTTTCCCTTCCCAGTAGGAGTGCCTTACAGTACTGTATATTAGCCTCTATCTTCCTGTTTTGGATTTCCTGATTGCATCTGCTGTTCAATTAACTTGTAGGCTTAAACTGAAACTCTCCCATGGCTTTGCCTGCTCTTTTGCAGGAGCAGCTGAGTAATTCAGTTTGGTTGTTCTGCCCTCATGAAATGAGCTCTACAGGCTGCATACACCAGCTCTGAAGACACCAAGCTGCATGGGAACTCCTCACATTTGCTCATTTTTGGTGCCTTAAATTTTCAAAAGTGAATAATTTTGTTAGAAATGCTCTGCCATGATGCAGTGTGTTTGGCATTGGAGCTTGAAACCCTTGCTCGTGACAGTTTCCATCTTGCTAGGAATGGTAACCATAAAATTTGTTTACTATCTATGCTTTGAGAGGGCAGTATGAGAGAGGATAGCATGGAGATGGTGTTGGTTTTTATTATCTATATTTTTGAGACTGTCTGGGCTTCTCAGCCAGAAATGCAGTTGTGCTTATGCGAGACCTTCGGAAGAGGCGCATATATAATAGTGGCAAGTACTGGGAATTGAAATAGGGTCAGGTCACGTGCCAGTCCACACCACATGGCGAAGGACTCCCATATGGCACTCCCTACTCACATGCACAGCTGGATCTAGTGCTGTGGGAGTGAAGGCATTTCCTCAAAACTCGATTTTAATGCACCCTGGTTCCCTGAAGGCTAACCCAGTCAGGGTTTGATCAGCCTTACCTTAGAGAGAGGGTTAACCTGTTTAAATTTTAGCATTATTTGCTAAAGTATGTGGCATGTGTCAGCCTGGGGCACATGTCCATGCTGACTGTGATCTTACAAGTCCACATTTGATGCCAATAGCCCGAATCCCATTTGACAACAGCAGTGCTGTCGCTGCATTTTAGCAGTACAGTGAGGAGACAGCCTGGATGATAATGTGCAAAGTCCTTCTTTACTTGAAAACCGTGGTGTGCCCATGCTGGCCTGATTCATATCTTAAAATGCTAGTTAGAGTGGTCATTAATCGAAATTGCAAAGGTGCCACTTGTGGTCAGCATCAGAGGTATCCAGGCCTGGAGAGCTATCAGCTGTCTAGGACCAAAGCGTAGTAGATTTTGTCTGTGTGCACAAGTGTCAGTGGCTCAATTATTTATTTATTCCTGTCTAATTCACATGTTAAACCAGTGTAAATCCTTGAATACACAGCATTGTTTTGGTGGAAAAAGGATTTGGTTTAGTTTTGCTTATGCACTTGTTTACCAAGTCGATTTTGCTTAAACTAAAGTGTGCTTTAGTTTAAAGGCTGATTTTTTAATGGCATCAATACCTGTGATACCAACTTAGCTTATACCAGTTCCTGCTATACTTGAGCTAAGCAAAAGTAAGTCATGAGCAAAATGTGTGTTTGATGGGTATTAAGTGATAAAGGCAGCTCCCAAATCAACTTTAGTTCAGTCGAGGCAGTTAAAAGCCAGGGAAAGCCGGGCATGAGCAGCAGAGCGCAGTGGCTGATGCAGTCCCTGGCAGTCTGGGCTTTCCTTCCTGCCAGAGCACCAGCTCACCTGCAGCATTTTTAGTGAGTGTTAGCATTGCTGGCAGTGCACTCTGAGATTTTTGAAAACCATTATGTGTGTGTGCTACTCTGTTAATTTATTTGCAACATTGTTATGTGTGTTCCCTTGTTCTTGTGTTTGCATTGTTGTTTTGGGGTTTTTTACTTTTGACAAAGATTTTTTTAAATTATCTGCAACTTTTAGGCAATAGTCTTAATTTATTATTGATGTGTAATAATGTTATAAATTCACTGAGCTGAATTGCTTGTTGACACTTGAGCAGGGTTTATTTGGGTTCACTTGTGACAGCATCAGAGCACCAGTCCCTCGTGTATAAAGGCAACTCTCAATAAACACTAAAAAAAAGTTACTCGTCCTTTTTAATTTGCCTTCTGGTGGGTGCTGTACCATAGGTAGAGCAAGCTTTGAAAGAGTGATAGTTTTCTTAGAAAGGCTAACCTGCCCGTGAAAGTCTTCCAAATCTAAGACAATTATGATACTCACTGTTCCTGGGTCTCAGCCAGGTCTCTAGAATTACTTTTGATGTCTGGATTGGGCTCTGTGGGTTTGGATCCCAGTTGAATTTGTTAAGTGTTTTTGGAAAGGCACAAATTCCTGGATTTTTAATGGTGCTGACCCCCTCAAAAGCTCCCAGGGGAGCTTACTGGGAGCTGTGGCTTTCAGGCACCTTTGGATACAGAGCTCCTGGGAGGTATGCAGGTGGCAGATCCCCACTGCATGGCTGTCACATGGACCTCTGCCAGAAGGGTCCAAGCTCAGGGCCTTAAATCCTAAGTAAGGGAGGCATCTCCCAGCTGGACTGAAGGGACCACTAGGGGCCTGTAAGGGCAGGATTTTGCCCATATCGTAAGGGTTCTCCCCCCAGTGGATGTAGGAGCAGCCATGATTCCTGCTGTTCTCGGTTGCTTCAGGTCCCTGAAGCCATGAATTTGGTGACTAAGGATTGCAGCACCGAGCCATGGTGGAGCTCACAGGCCTAAACCCCCTGCCTGAGAGCCCCCAGAGAAATCCACACCCAGCCCTATGCTCCAGCAGCTTTCAAAGAGGAGGATATATCCCCTCCCTCACTGTCCTCCTGCCCCTCGTCAGAAAGACCAGGGGTCCATCGGGAATGTCAATCCTCTCTCCTGCAGGAACCTTTGGACTTCATCCCTGTGATGAAATCAGCTACAAGCAGGGAGTTAATGTTTGACGAAGATCACACAAGCTGCACAAGAAAACCATGTGCAAGGCCTTCTCTTCCTCCTTATTTGCTTTACAAGGTGAGCAAATTCTATTATGACATCTCCTTCCCCTTTCACTGCCACCTTCCCTCCTCACTTCACCCTGTAAGAGGTGGTGGGAAAAAGCATCCATACAGAGCAGAGACCATGGGGACTAGGGAGCCCTGGGAAAAGCATGCCAATTGCAGCTCCAGCTCTTCTCTGAAAGGTCAGGGCAGTTCATTTTTTAAAAGCTACCCTTCAAGCTCTTAGACCAAAATTAATAGTATTAGGTTTAATACGTGAAGTTGACTGGTTTTCTAAAAGGTGGTGGAACTGGAATGCAGCTCTTCTTTTGGGAATAAGTGACAGTGTCTGCAGGTTTATGAAGTCCTGAGGACACTGTCTAAAATAAATGAAATACCAGCTCCTTGACCAGAACTTTGCTCTAGGCTTAAGTAAACAAATCTTTTTTTTTTAACCTTTTCCATAACATCATGCCTGTATCCAGGTGTGATAAAATCCTGATTACAGTACAGTAATAGAATTACCCAAGTGGAGCTAGCATCCTCCTTCTTTGTTTAGGACTGAGAGGGACCTTCCAGGTCTGAGGCTTACCATACTTTTTCAGTGACAGCACGCTGAGGGCAAGTGAAGATATTCTGGGAGTGTGTGTACATAGCTCTGGACTGTCTTGTTAAAAGAGTTATTGTTTAACTAAACACTCTCCAAAATAGTGGTCCCATCTAGAGGCCTGAGTATTACCAGTATGAGAAGGTGGTGAAAAGCATCTCAGATAATCAAGTGTCACAATTAAAACCAGACAAAGTCTACAGGGCAAGCAGGAGTAAATTCCATCCATTTTAAGTGTAGATATGTATAAAACTTGGCATAAAAGGCTGTATAAAAAGGCTGTAAACATGCTAAAAAGTCAGTCCCTTGTTTATAGTAAGTGACTTTGGATTTTCTATAATTGAGTTTGAAGCATTAGCATTCATTTAGATAATAAAAAAGAAGTTGTAAGGCTCATCTGAAAAGCAAGAGAAGTCAGATGAGAGCTTGTGTTAAGGGCTGAACTTTCATTGACTTGAAAGTTCAGAGGTATTTAGCATGCAGGTACAATATTATGTATTTAGAAGTGAGTGACTAAGAAGGAACTGTTAGTAAAGTTAGGTACTGCTTAAAAATAAAGTGCAAATTACTGAATCTGTGTAAGAAAGTAATAGATGTAATCAGTGTGCATGGA